CCCTATTGCTTTCCTTGTCTAACAGTCGTCACTAATGCTATCCTTGCATAAGTCATTTCTCTAGTGCTATCCTTGTCTACTCCTATTTTTTTCCTTGTTTAACTCATTTGCCTAATACTATCCTTGTCTAACTCGTTTTTGTATTACTAAATACCTTGACGAGTTATTCTTCGTAGCGAGCACGACTAAATGTATTTGTTTGCATGGGTAGAACTGTTCACGATCGTTTGACAACAGTAGAACACGTGCATATGACGTATCAGCTACTAATAAACAATTACGTTATTTTCTTATTTGTAATTTCATAGTTACGTTTAATTCCAAAACCTACTAATGTTGTAATCTTATTCTATAGTGAATCGGTAACGTTGATAACGACACAAAAATGGAAAGGTTCCTCTCGGCCCCAAGGCCCCGGACAAGAAGTCCCATAAGATGCTAGGTCTATCCTGTATGTATATCGTCTGTGCCTGTACTTCGTCTGTGATTCTGCTTAGATCGCGACTGCATTGTATCGTCAGTGGGCTGCAATGTCAAAATTGGCGAGATGACACTATGTCGTCAGTGGATTGCAAAGTGTTTATTCTGTACCTCGTCTGTAACCCTATACACCTGTGCTTGTATCTCGTCTACAATTATGCATCACGACAATGGAAATAATTAAGCAACACAAGTGTTATCATAATACAAAATAGTGATATAATACAAAACAAATTTAAATTCTTATTATCAGTTGGTAAAGTTTGGACTGATACTCTTATTTGAAATTCGACTAGCAACCAACTTCTCTTCAGTGAGATATCTTGACAATTAACAGTCATTAAACAGCGAATGTAAAAATTGATATAAAAGTGTATCTTATCAAGGACATTTAGTTCATGCATGTTTTTTTATTTATGAAACTCCGTTGGGAATTTAGTTCATAAGCGTATGATTATTTCTGCTATGAATACTATTAATTACAAATTTTCGAAAGTTTCTAGTAGAAATTGACATTTGTGTTCGAAATGTTAGTATACATACATTTCTCGTCTGGAAACACCGTATTATTGTAGATGCAATAACAATGAACAATTTTTAATGATTACCACTAAACGTTATAATAACGGATAAAAGGCGGAAATAATGGAAAACGTTATGGAAGGTGTTAATGGACAACTGCAAACGAAATATCAAAAGATTGCTGCGGAATATTCAAAAGTAAGAAATGCTTGATACATCTTTTACATAGTGCAAATACTTTCCAAAACTCAATAAAACAAAACTTTGTTTTGCTTTTTAATATTACTTACTTTCCTTTATTTTTATAACCCCTTTTGTTCTTATCACAATTTATTCGTTGTATATGTGTATTGTAAAATTATTACTCAAAATTTTATCCCTTAGATTCGTGCTCAAGCAAATGTTTTAAAAAGGGCTGTGATTGATGAACAAACACGTAATGCAGATATTAGAGAACAATTGAAGGAAAAGGAAGTCGAACTTCGAAGAGCAGAACAAGAATTAGATAGCTTATCATTTCGAAATCAGCAGTTAACTAAACGAATAACTGTATTACAAGAAGAACTTGAAAAAGCACAAAATAAATCCAAAAAGGGAAAAACTAAATTATCAGAAAGTAATAGCCAAGTATTAGCATCGCCAAATCATATTTTAGATGAAGAATTTCAGAAGAAAATAGTTGAGAATGCTCAATTATTGTCTCAAATCCATGATAAAGATAGTGAAATTGAAACTTTAAATGAAAGAACACAACAATTAGAATATAAATTAAATCATTGTGAAAAGTCTAAAGTTGAAATAGAGTGTCGATACCAAAATACTATAGATAAACTTGAAAGAGAAAAAAGTGATTTACAAAAAAAATTAAATGATAAACAAAAGCAAGAGGAAACAGTATCATGGTCTAGTAATGAAGGCAAACGAGATGGATATGAATGTGATACAAGAGTAGGACATTCTAATCATCCACAAATACAACCTTCTCCATTTTCATCACCATCAGCATCACGTAGATCATCAAAGTCTATTGGCGAAGGTCGACCTCATAAAGTAAATGAAGAAAATAATGATTTTGACTTTTTAAAATTGTGTAACTTAGAAAAAGAGATCAGTCATTGGAAGGCACAATATCAGATGATTAAGATAAAATATGATGAAATAGAACAAAGAGAAAGCTTACTCAGTATACAGATTGAACACCAACCTTTACAACCTGAAGAAATAAATCACATGGTAATATTTACTTCAAACTTATAAAAATTTTTGTTTAATGTAATTTAACTAATAAATATTGATAACAGATTGGAAGACTAACAGTACCTTTTGCAATACCAGAAGAGATTGAAGCTCGAGAAGCAAAAATCAGAGATTATTTTCTACGAGAGATTGATAAATTAGTATCAGAAAAACATATTTATCATGTAAAAAATTTAGCTATGGCTGCTAATGTAACTACAAACTTTTATTCAATTTTTTTATAGGAACCTATTATTTTTCTATTAAACATTTGATTTAAAAATACTTTTTATAGAGTGAAGTTATGCAAGTTCATTTAAATACAAGTGAATCCAAGAGGGAAAAATGTGAATCTGCACTTACAGAAGCAGTTTCAAATTGCAGTATTCTACAAAAAGATAAAGAAACACAAGAAGGAAATTATAAGGTACAGCTCAGTACCATGAGTGAACATCTTGCTAATATGAATGAGAAACTTATTTCTCAAACAGAAGAAATACAACAATTAAAATTTCAACTTGCAAACAAGGTAACTGTTTGTTGTAAATGTAAATACTACTATTTTAAGTACTCAGTGTATTGTTTAATTATTTTCAGAATAGTAAAAAAGGAAAACAAAAGTGATACAGTTCAGGTTGTAAATTAATAATTACTGACATTCCAATAGCCACTTACTTTAATCAGAATTATTAATAACTTTAATTTTATGTACATAAGCAACTTTTATGTAACAGAAAAAACAATAATTACAATTTTTAATCACACTTACCAATATATTAAGAAAGTTTG